TATTAGATACTGTACAGTATTAACTTCATATCTCTTAGTGTTTATATAAATGGAAAAAAAATTGTACTGTAGTTTTATAATTATATTATGCTACTTTTAGATTGCTTTTAGACTACTGTTAGATTGTATTATATAGCCTTAGTGTTATATACTATCACACAATTGTTCATTTACAGTATTTCACACTAATAACAACAGCAAACACAGTTGGGATGAAATATGAGACTTATGCTGCTCAGTGTTGTAGACATGTAAATGCCTACAAGACAATTATTACGATTATTAGACATTTCAGACATTCTCCCACACCAGTGCAAAGACCTTTCTCCCTTCCCACCCGTGTGTGGACATTTCGGGCATTCACCCACACCAGTGCAAAGACCCCTTTCTCCCTCTCACCCATGTGTGGACACCCAACCAATCACAATGAGCGGCCCCACATTTGCAACACCTCCAGCAGTTGGTTCATTTACTCGAATGGTAACTCTACATTTCTTCCATTTTGTATATACAACACCTGGAGAAGGGCAAGAGGCAACTTGAGGCAACCCTCTCATTACAACAAAGTGAAACTCTGGAGGGAGTGAGAAAACACTGATGACGGAGATATTTATAATCTAAGTAAGAGCCTCGAGATGCCTGGAACATGTACGATTTGAATATATGCCAATGGGTCACGTTAGTTAACAAGGATTCCAGTACCTAGAATTAATTGCTACAGTATATAGTTTTTAAATAAATTTCCTAGTTTTCATACTACAGTACTTTATCTGCCACCTCAAATTTTTAAGGACTGCCAGATGCCTTTCCTTTGCAATGGGGGTTGATCTTTGACACTAGTTTGTCCTGGTCAGACCATCTCTCACACCTCCAAGGCCCATATCTTACCTAGTCTTGTTCCATACTTCCTGGGGAGCACACACTTTTGCTGTCTAAACTATTATGACTGCTCTGCCTACTCTGCCTTTCCTTCGATTTCTTGGTGCTCTGCACCAAAGTGGGTTATACCTCGGCTATGGTGTCTTTCGTTTGTCCCTTACCCAGTTTTTATGTTAAAACTGGCATTGTCTACAGGATAGTCATGGTCATTAACTGCCTTTACTACCTACAAGGTCCCTGCAACATGCTCTTGCTTGTGCCATGCTTTGATGCCCCTCAGATGTACCCTATTCCTCTTTCACCACCTTTTTCTGTAAGGATGTCTCAAGATTCTGTCTCGATTCATATTTGCTTCCCTCTCCTAGTGTTGTTTCATCCTTGCCCCATAGAGGATTCTGCTCTCAAAGTTTTGCAAGACCTTGTCTCACTCATGCAGGGTATAAGCCCTTATTGATATGAAACTTTTTTTTTTCTTAAACACTTCTTTGCCCAAATCACAACTGTCAAGGCTGCTGATGGTTTTTATTACTTCATTGTCTTTCCTTATCAAACCTTTGTGCTGCTCACTTCTGGAGACTAACATCTTCACAGGGAAACTTCATGCAATTTTGTTTGCCATTTGTCGACTGCTTTTCCAATGTCAATATTTCTTTAGTTGATTGTGATTGACACACTCTGCCCTCATGAATCTGAAGTCATTTAATCCTGTGGCCATTGAAATCCAATAATGGTCGTTTATCTCTAGCAGGTATAAGATAGTAGTTTAGCTGGGTTTCCAGTTAAGTGCAGTGATAAGCTCTGTACTCTTGGGTAATCCTTGCACCACTGCTCTCGCATCAGATATAGATGAAAATACTAGTTACAGCTTTGTCAATCTTTGAAGACTATAAAATTCAGCATGAAAATTACCTCTGTAGCAGATAATATACAGTAGTCTCTTTTTCAACAAGTTTTTGATTGGCCAATGGAAAATAACTTTCCTGAGGGCCACTAACACTATTGGCCTCGACGAGGACAGGAAACTGGCGGCTTGTCAATAGGTCCCCCTATTTGCCTTTAGAATGTTTTCCAGATAAACCTTGAAATGCAACAGTCTTGGTATTTACAGCTTCAGCAAGTAGGCAGTTCCATGGGTTTATAACACTGTGGGTGAAAAAACCTCTCCTGTTCTCAGTCCTACATTGTGGCTCGTCTAGCTTAAAACTGTTGCTACTTGTTTGCATTACATTTGACCTTTTGAAGAAATTTAATGGATCAACATCAACATCCATAACACATTTAACAGCAAGTTCCGGGTACTTAGGCATGGCACAAATTAAAATACAGGATACAAGATAATCAGACAAATTCATTGAAGGAAAATGTGCAAAAGACCTGGAACTCATGGTGTGACACCTGACATTTAGTAAACTAAGCAAGCAAACAGTGTCGGCCAGGAAAATTATGGGATAAATTTTGAAAACTTTCAGATTTAGGGATCCCAGTGCAGTGTTAATATTTAAATCACTGATGCTGCCCTGCCTCTAATATGGTTTGGTACTCTTGCTCTTTTAGACTAGGAGAGATGATAAAGAACCTAAATTGGGACTTTCCTCAAAGCTCTCAAAATTTATTTTTATGCCTTTAGTCTTTTTGAAAAAAAATGTATATGCAGAAGTCTCAATAACGTGGCTAAAGATATGATGACCAAACTACACCAGAAAATTTGGATATTTTAGTCCATCCTAGACCACTATCGAGTCGAAAATGCAACCTATCTTTCTGAAACGATTGTATTTATAGTAACTATTTGGTTGCAAGTACCATTATGTAGTAATTTACCACCAGTTAACATTGTTAAAAAGTTAATTTTTTGGATGCAAAACTATTCAAAAACTTAACTTTTTAGATGGCCCATTACTACATATAGTAATCATTGTCAAAAATACAAACAAGTATTTTCATTTTTAGGGGGACTGGATGCAAAAGTACTGGAAGGAAATGTCTCAAATTTCCACAGAACATACTGGAGCAAATGATACATAAGGAAATGTAGAATAAGACCAATGAGTAGTGGTGCCTATAGTACTGTATGAACATCAGAAGTCCATTGGCGTCTCATACAGCTATGAGAAATATTGGTACTGTATTACAAAGTGGACCTCAAAGAGCAATTGGATAAGTTCATTGAAGGAGTGCCAGACCAATCAGGTTGTACTGGATACATGGGTTGCTCCTAGCAACATCCTGTTAAACAGCCTGGCTCCAGGCTGGACTCCGATAAGAACTCCTGGTACAAGGCATTACCTTAAATGAACACAGACAACCACTAAGGAGGCCATCTGCTCTTTTTTTACAAGTTTCCCAAAACAGGCATTTTCTTCCAATTTTTACCCATCATTCTTCAATCCGAGAGCACTGGTAATCATTGGTCTGGTTTAGAATCTATTTGTAACAAACTGCACTCAAGTGCTGCAGGCTGTCTGTCTTCCCAATTTCTATTAGTGGTAGGAGGAACTGATCTGGCTAGGATTTTTAATGGCCAATGTATGTTTAACTTTCAGGCAGTTCATGTGTTCTGTACTGTCCAAACTGCATCATCCCATTTCTTTTTACCCTTCAGTGAACCCCGGTTTGGTGCCCTCTTTTGATAATTACTTTGGTGGATCTTGATTTTTCAGATCTATCTTTATGTCCCTCAAGATAGAGAAATCTGACGTTTTAATTAACTCCATGTTTGTTATCTTATTGGCATCCTTGGCAATATTTAGCTCCAATTACTATGGGCTTACCATAGCCTGTGCTTGCCTGGAACTTTGTTCCGGGTAGCGAATCTTAAACAACCTAGAGGGACATGGTGCTCCAGTCTTCCCAGCTTTATGCCTTTTGACAATTACAGTACTTTATTCAATTTTTGGGTTATACCTATAGAACTAGTCAACAATTCTGCAAATTACTTTTCTATTGTATCTTTAAAGCCATTTTATAAAGTTACAGTATATACAGCTGCCAATGTGAACGCTTCCAAACATTTAAACTATTCAACACAATATAAATATGCCTACATGATTTGTCCATTTCAATAAGAACTTTTTAGGCATCCTGATAAGTAATGGCCACACTGGAAACTCACATTTCTAGGAAAAACGTCATCTGAAATCTAACAAATTTACCAACACGTTGTAAAAGTTAATGTGAACGAGTAGAACTGCTATCCAAATTGGCCAGTCTAAAGGTATTGTAATGACACCAATGAATATGCAGTTTCTACAAAAGCTAACAAATCTTTGTATACGCACATTGTACCTACCTGTCCAAGTACTGCGGTAAAGTCATGGTAGCAACAGCTAGGCAAATTTATCAGGGCAGCACACTTCTGCCCTTCAGATAGTCTTTGTGGCTCAGAGGTGAACCCTATTCATTGAACTTTTTATTGTCTACTTAAAACCTTTTACCATCATTCTTACAAGTTCTAACAAAGCACACACTTATATGTATCCTTTTTTACAAAAATGAGCATATCCATTAATGTACTGTTAAGTGGCAGTATGCTCAAGCTCATTTCCCCCCCCCCAGCCTGGGATCTATTTAGGTTTTTGTATAAATGAACTAATTAATGGGCGTCTAAAACTACAACCAATTCCTTGCGTAAATATATGCTCATTTCCCCCCCCCCCCCAGCCTGGGATCTATTTAGGTTTTTCTATAAATGAACTAATTAATGGGCGTCTAAAATTACAACAGATTCCTCGCATCAATATACCATGGCAAAAACTTTCCTTAACACTCCAGTATGTATTGTTAACAATGAGACTTTCCCAGTACTTTATCAGGAATGACCAGGCTTCTGTACACTGATAAAAACAAATCTTCATTCTTTATGCTAGAATTTAAGACTGCTAATTTACACATCTAAGCACTAATGGAATGTCTTGACCCCAATGGAATCTTGTCATCACGTGCAAGAAACTAATGCAAGTTAAGAGTAGCAGCGCCAGAAAGTTTAAACTAATAGAACGTCAGGGTTTTTTTTATTTAAATTTAGAAACTAGATCATGCAATACAGTATATAGTTACACGAATGTAAATTCAGTTGGCCAAGTAGACCAAAATTTGTTAACATGGCAAACAAAAATAAAGACTGGGTAATAAACAATTTTATTATTCACCTGTATGAAATACAGAACCTGTTCCAGGATAATGCATTGCCTACAATATGTTATAAACTTTAAATCATTTAAAATCTTAATGCCTTCAAGCTTTATTTGTTCCCAAAAAATCCTTAAAATTATTTTTGGAAAATTCAGTAAATTTAAACCTGATCCTGAATGAACATTAAAATTTAATAGTTGTCTGCAATCTAATAATCTATCCCACATCCTGGATACAATTCAATACGATCTAAATTTAAATAAAATTTAAGAATCTAGAGTAACTGCAAGGGGATATTTTAAAGAAAAATACTAGATCCTATCCAATTGTGCCCATGAACATAAGTAGTGTTAGTTGCAAAACTTTATAGGCTGTATCTGCAAGAAATCAACACTGCATAATTGTATTAATGATGGCCAAATGATTTTATGCTCAGTATCTATACCTCCCTTAAAAACGGTATTGAAATGCTTCTCAGGAAATTAAAAAGACCAGGAGCCATAAAATTACCAACTCCAGCCTCAGTTATGCCATATGCAAGGAAAGAGCTTAGCGAATTCTTAATAATTATGCCTCGTCTATTCACGAATCCCAGTGCCGTAATTTGCACCTCCGGCCTTCACTAGTTCCTGAAGGAAAGCTTCATGATTCAGTTCACTGGCAGTCTCCACAGTCAGCTCCACTGCAAAGTTCTGTTTGAAGAAAGTTAAAATTTAAAAGAAGGCTAATCAAATTACTCGAGTTTTTTGGAGAGAGCCTCCTGGTGGCTTCCTGAAGCTATCTTGCCAATATTGCTCCATAATAAAGGGGTTACATCAGTCGCATTAGTTCAGTTTGGCTTACCAAGAACCAAAGACATCTACCCTACCTCAGAAGCACGATGAGTGGGTGGGTGACAATTTACAATGCCACAAAAAAAAAAAAAAAAAAAAAAAAAAAAAAAAAAAAAAAAAAAAAATTGTGATCAAGAGTCGGGACAACTTTAGAAAACGGGAGGGGTCACAAACTTCAAAATGACTGCAAGCTAGCCACATAGAACAAGGGTTTCATCCAAACAAGTTTTTAGTACAGATTACCACTACCAGGCAGCTATTTCCAAGTTCTATCTACTCAGTTCTGGTGTTTGTCTCACCGTGTAGTGATGCTATTAGTCACTGCTATTCACATATCTCTGGTTCAATGCTGGGCCCCACCTGGTGCCTCTGATTAGTCATTTATCCAAGAGGTTTCCATCCTCCCACCCAGCACCTACTGTGGTCTCTGCCAATTTGCTCCAGAACCTCTTGCAGAGGACTGACTTCCATGATGAACCCAGCCTCCAAGTCCAGACCAGTTTCTGAAATCCAATGGTTCATTCGCCTGGTTCATCCTGGCTAGGCAACCACTTTTCCTTTGTCGGCCCCACAGGCTAGCTTGGCAAAAGGCAAGCTCAGTCTTTCAGGTATTCCTCAGCAGGGCTTTGTTCAGCTTAAGCCATCCATCTGCTCTGGCACTTTCCAAGGATATGATCAAGTGGCAGCTCAATGTGCAGCTGCCTACATTGGTCATGAGTCTTTATTGTCAAAGACCACAGGGCACATTTGTGCCCGATAGTCATCTTTTATGGCTGGGTCCTCGTGGAGGAGCTCTGAACATCTCTACGAGGATATGGAATCACCGAGGGTCCATTGTTGGGGAGGGTTAGGTCATGTGGTTTACAATTCTGGCTGACTGCCTTGCCCAAATTGCATGCCCCCTTCTTTAGGCTACAGTGACCATTTTTTCAGCCTGTCATGTTAATGGACCTTGTTGACTTCTTACCATTATGGCTGCCTTCCTCTTTCCTCCTGTTTCTGGGTTAGGGGGGACCGGTCTGCTCAGGTTTCTGCAGCAGCTTTCTCCTGGTGCCCTATTTATCAGTTCTCCCTGTTGTGTCCCCATTCAGAGGCAGTCTGGTCGAGTTGGGAGCTTGCCCGTTGGTTGGGCTATGTTTGTGGATGGTTCAGATTCCCAGACTGTTGCTCGTCCTGAGGTAGCTTCCTCTGCTCGACATTGCAATTACACATTGTGGAAGGCTGGTTCTGCTCTGGGTTTGCATCAGTCCTTTTATGTTGCATTTAGGGGGGGGGGCCCCCCCTCTAGGTCTTGCTGGCTCCTAGTCAGGATTTTTTGGGCTTTCAAAGTACCCCTATCCCCCCCCCCCATGCCTTTCAGTGGAGCAGGGCAGTTTCTCCGCCCAAATTTGATGTTAGGTCTGTTGGGTCATTGTGGGTCAGATGGCCTCTAGCTTGATAAATGCGATTGTCCCTTTGGTCTGAACCAATCAAGTTTGAACAGCTTCATTCCTGTTTGACCTTACAACCACCTTGGCAAGTTTATCCAAACTAGTTTGAGCTTTAATGATGACCCTGGACCTCAAGGATGCAAATTGGCACTTTGCCATACAGCTAAAACTTAGGGATTGGTTAGGTTTTGTTCTGGGGCATCAGGCTTGCCACAAATGGGCTCTTTACTGCTTAAATTTTATCCCTATTTCCCTACATGCAAGTTTACCAAACTGGCACAGGTTATCGAGGCCTGGCTGCATCTGCTAGGTGTTTTTATGTTGGCCTAGCAGGGATCTGGTCCTTTCTCAGATCACTGGGGTCAGGTTCCTGGCAAACTGTCAGAAGTCCCAATTGGTTTGGTGCCAGATTTGGACTTGGCTGGGCTAGTTTGAGAGACTGCATCCATTTGCCCACCTATGGTGGCTTTACTCTTAACAGTAGCTTCATCGTCATTTGGTGTTCAATCGGCTCCAGGTAGCTTGCCACTCTTACAGTAGTTGTGCAGGAGCCTGAAATTTGCTTGCATTTCCTTTCCCTGGGGATGATTTGGCTCCAGGCATTTGGCTAGTTTCTCTGGTTCTGCTGCTCCCAGGACTGGTAGGTTTGACCTACCACCAGGTAAGTGGTCAGGTTTCGTTCCTTCAGATGCACAAGTTTGTGGCCGTGTAGTACGCCCCAAAGAGCACACCCCTTCCTCTGACTTCGGTGCTCTGGCTTCATTGACTGTTCCCCAATGGTTCCTTGCCTGAACTCAAGAGATGGGTTGCTTTGTCAATTGCCCTGTGGAGCTGCTGCTAGATTCTCATGTTTGGTTCATGATTCACATGTAGATTGTCAAATAGTCATATGGGTTATTTCACTTTTCTCCAATTTCCACAGAGTTGACCACTGACAACACTTCTGTTGGCTCTGCGAGACATTTGATCTTCCCCAGGTGCCGTCCAATCTGTGTTGGTACTCTAGGGTGGTCCTGGGTCATTGGTGGCCAGCTCTGCCCATTTCTGGCACTGCTGGCCTGGTGTCTAAACCCTTACATTTTTTCCAAAGCTCCGCTTCTTCAAGCAGATTGGTCCAGTTGTACACGTCTCTACTTTCTCTGCTTTATACGTCTAGTTTTTATGCATGCCCACTATTTGTGTGGTGACTGGGTGGTTGGGTTGTTTCTGTCCTACCTGCATTTTTCTCTAGTAGCAAGCAGTAGACTTTTGCTCCATTTGCTACTAGATGCCTCTATCTTTAGTCTGTCAGGTCTTTTTATCTTTGTCATGGGCGGTTCCAACTTTACATCTCTTGCCGAATGCCGTTGCCTCTCATTCCGCAATGGAGCCACTTGCTTGTATTGTGTAAACATCGCCATGGCACCTTTTGCAAGTTTCCTTGTGCAACTTTTAATTTGCCACATCTGATTGAGGCTGTTTACCATTTCCTGCATGCCACCAGTTCTGTAGGACACCTTGTTGGTTGACCCTATTTCCTTTGTCCCCAAGGCTCATTTCTCAGGGATGTTTACAGTCATCATTTTGACCATGTCCTTGGCCAACTTCGGGGCCCATGGGAGTCCATTCTAACAGGGTTCAGAGGATCTGGTACTTAATATTCCTGGTCCAAGTTAATTATGTGTTGCTTCAAGCCATGTCTTCTAGCCTGGATTTTCATCAGTGTACCATTTCTCCATTAAGTGTTTTTGTTCCGTGGTTAATTAGCTTCAGGGAGCCACTAGTGCGCTGCAGCAACAAACTTTATCTTTCTGGAGGAACCCCAGTGGCTTCCCATTTCCTTCCCTCATGATTAGTCTCACTGTGGATTCTTCAGTTTTAGAAGAGATCGAGTATGTTGGGGCCAGGGCACCTGGTGGAAGTAATTTTTAAATAGTTTGGGCATACTTTGCAAAACTTTTGCAGAGGCATTTGGCAATTTTGAGGCTCAATATTGTTTATTAACCCTACAGTTTGGAAGGAAGACTTTCTGAAGGATTTTTCCAGCAAGGAGGCAGATTGTCACCTACTCCCTGCAACTTTGAGGAGAGGCGAGGTTCTGGCTCTGGAACCTGGTAGGGCAAACAACTTCAGTGACCAATGTGACCTTTTAGCAATTTTGGCAAAATGATTTCAGGGGGGTTACCAGGGCATCTCTAGAAAGAATTTTCATTACATTCAATAGGTTTTTCTTTTACATGCCCTTAACATTGAGCATGTCAAGGCATCAGTTATTTTATTTACTACCATTTTCAGATACCAATATCTAGATTTAAGCACAAACATTAAACTTCAAAGTCATTAAATTTAAGCTGAATATCTTAAATTGGCTTTATATTTAACAGTTTCGCAAAGATGCACATATGGTTACAGTAGTTGTGCCAGTAAACACCTTTAGTACCAGTGCAAAATTAAAATTTAGATTTAAAAAATTGTACCTTAAATTAGTTTAAATCAAAAGTTCATTATAATAACTGCTTTATGTCTAAACCTTAATTTAAAATTTTAACTTAATCTATGCAATCTTTTCAACCAAATTAATCTTCTACAGAGTGAATTTGGGAACCATTGTGACAGATCAAATATTGCAAGTGGCAAAAGATTTAAATTTTAAGTTTTATACAAGATTTGTATCGTCTGCGAACACTTACCGACAAAATCTCTTTAACAAGAGCCTTGTCTGTCGACATCTTTGCCTTCTTAATTGGAGATACTCCCGTCCCTACCCAGGTTACCAACAGGAACTTTGACCGCTTGCTCATCTCATCTCCAGTCTTTGGGCAATTCAGACAAAGTATTTACAAATTAATATTGACCATGAACTGTATAGTAAACTATTTAAAAAGGTATCAAGCGAGCAAACCTATCATGCATACATTACTTTGATTATGTAGTTTACTCTTCATACAAATGTTTCAGACTAAATAATGGAACACTAACCTAGCTATTAGACTAAAGCAAAGACAATACTGTATCACTGATAATAGTTATACATTACAATTTCAGCATTATTGCAATGAATAAAAATCATGGAAATCATTCTGAACTATAACTCCCATATTTAAATTTCTCATGCATATACAAATAAAAGTAATCATGTTTCAAGTACTCAGGTTATTTAACAGGTCTCTAATCTATGCCACTTAACCACGACACTGCGCACCTAGTTGTAAAAAAATTCATAGTGCAATTGTCAAGGATATGGTTTTTATAAATCTTCAGGTAAAGTTAATGTCAAAACGTTTCTAAAACCATTTCATTTCAAAACAGCGATTAAAACATTAATATAGCCTAATTAAAATAAAAAAAAAGCAACTGTGGTTAAAGGTTCATAGCAGAGGAAACTATAGTTAATTATCACTAAACTTTAAACCAAGACATTGTATATGGACAAAACCTTTTAAACATACCTGCAGGCGAAGATATGCAAAAGCTCTCTCGTCATCACCAAACTGTGCCTTGAAGTCATCAAATGTCTGGCCTTTGGCGGACACTATAACTTGACTCCCATCGTACTTGAAGACTGCCCTGATAACAGCAAGCGCCATTTAACATTATCATTTAAAATGGTAAAATTCAAATTCAAAATTTGTGTGTCATATGCATGGTCAGGTTACATTAACAGATTTACACATTAAATACCCACTAATTTCTCCCTTTAAGCCTACCTATTCCCATCCACTATCTTTACATCAACAGGCTTCCTTCTCTGTATGCAAGATACAGTCCCAAAGTACCCAGATTATTTAGGATCCATGCAAGATGGAGCCAGTAAATGCAGGTAAAGTATGACCTTCAATTTCACACATGATACTGTATTCTGAACTGCCAGATAAGGGGGGCAAGCAATAATAAGTACAGTGATGTTTATAAATTTGCAATTAAACAAAACAGACCAAAACTTTGTATAGGGCTGATGCAACATTACCCAAAATGGTTACAAATCTTTAGATTATATTTATGGAGCAAAACTTAATCAAGTACTGTACAACCAGCTCCATTTAGCCAACACATAAGCAGGCCTAGACTTCATGGGGCTATGGGTCTAACTCAAAGCTTACACTACTGAAAGTGAAACGGAATACTGTACTGTACTTCAGCTTCCTACATTTCTAAATAGCATTAATTATTTGTTCTCGTTTGCAAGATGATAGTTTATAATTCCCATCAAGATAACGATCTGAAACAACGCTATTGTAGTTTATAGTGAATAGAGCTCATTAAAGCTAAAGCAGTATTAAAGTCAATCCTGATCAGCTCACTACAATTTAATAATTTTTAAAAAGAGATATGGGCATTATCCTATTTTCCAATGTAGGAAGAAACTCATTTCTGAGTGTTGTCTGTATAAATCTCAATTTGACATTTAAATGTGCTTTCATACCTACAAATACACTACAGTATCTTCTAACTATGCTTTTCTTGCATCATAATTTATTCAAACTTTTCTCTGCATGGGGTTCCACACCTTAAATGTAAAAATTGGATATAGGAATATCCATCATCACTGGAGTGTATTTAAATCCCCAGACAAATTCAAATAAATTTCTTATTCAGGAAAAGTACATGCATTTGCAAACAAAAACAAGATTTGCAAACAAAGTTGCATTTATAGATAGAGCTAGTACATACAATACCTAAAGCCATTAATACGCATAGTGTTTCAGGCAAACTAATCCGAGTACTGTACTAAATGCCATACAGAAACTGTACACTTCAGTGCCTTGTACCTGATGCCACTATATCAAGACCAACTACCATCCTAATTAAAAAAATGAAGTAGAACGCATGAACATTATGAGTGCCATCCTAGGTCTGAAGCTATACAAAAACTACAAATATTCAAGACAAGGAACACCATACCATATTAAAATAAAAACCATTTCCTCACTAGTATCCCACCATTACCAGTTCACTTAGTGCTGTACTATAAGAAAAATATCAATACTGCCACCTACTTAGTACTATGTTACACTACTTGCAAAGTCTTTAATAAGGTACCACATTAAAGACTAGCAAGGAAATTACAGGGTCATTGAATAAATGGTAGAATACTAGAATGGTTGAAATGGAAAAAGGGTCTTACTAAATGGGTCTGAATCTAAAAGCCTGTAGCGAGTAATCCTTATGCTCGCTCCATTATCTCAATGGCGTAACTAATTAGCACTACACAAGCTATAATCTTATCCCTAATTACAGGTAACAGTTCTCACATCCTCCTAGCCTAGTAGAGTAAGGCGCGGGGTAGTCACCAAATATAAGGAAGTGATATGAGAATAGAAAACAGCACAATTTCCAGTCAAGAATGTTTTAGTACAGCAAGAAGAGAAGAGGCTCTTAATGTTTCTGCTGCAGAATAGGGAACACATCTGACTTCAGAGGTGTGCTCTGATGATCCAGTATCACAGGCTATATACAAAGCCTTAACATTTAAGCTCAGGGCCTCTTCTATTGCCACTGCACCCAGGTTTTACCATGTTCCTACAAACTTTAGTTGTAGGAGCAGCCGTCATGAAACCAATGTTAGAAAAAAATTATGCAAATTGAATCTTGCTTAAATTAAAAATGTAGGTACATTGCTAGCAGTGTTACTATCAGTCCTTTAATCTTTTGTATCTCTGGCATAATGCTTCCTAATTCATTATCAAGTAGGAGGCTAAATTTTTCCATCCAAGAGCTCCAATGGTCGACGATGATAACTGGCCAATGGGGCTCTGGCGACGTCATCACTTGACAGGTGATGTTGACAGGTGGAATATTTTGTTTAATTTACTAGATTTCATTAATACAAATTATATTTTCTATATTGCTTCACTAATATGTCATGCTCTAACACCGTTATGAACATTATAATTGTTATGTTCAACGAATGTTACCGACCGACATGAAACTGCTCTTTTAAAAAGAGACCAAATATTTCCATATAGTAACTCTTCAGTTATTCTTATTTGTAAATACAAATCAGTAAAAAATGAAGGCAAATTTTACAAGCGTTTCAATAACCTGAAAACCAATTTTTCAAACCAAGTCTTATTTAATTTGCAGCCTTTCATACATTTGTGAATCTTTTACAGGAATATTTTAAATTAACCAACAAGAAAATTCCAGAATTGAGAAAATTCGGCATCAAATTTAAAGAATACCAAAATTTAAAGAGGAAAGCGGTTCAAACACCAGGCAATATTCTTCAAACTAGCAAGTTTGCTGCATTAAACCAAGCTTGCTAGCATCTCTAGTTATTTTCAAATTATAGCGTGTAAAGTTGTAATTATCAACTTTACCAGTTGTTCGAACGTTTTTCCATAACGTTTGTGACTACGGAAAGGAACCAATTTTGATAAATATTGCGCCTTTATTATAATCGTCTGTATAATCCTGCATAGACGACCATGCTTACAGAAAATTTCACTAAATTTTAATCTTTTATAGCCGTGTAAGGGCTATTACTCTACCGTGTCAAACAAGGCACTAACTACATTTCAAAGTTAATTCGCCAACGGAAAGTTTCATTTTAATCTTGCTTTGAAATATCAGGGCATCAAAATTAGTGAAGGTTGCGCCCTTAACTGTACCTCCACTGTGGAGATGGTGGATAGACAAAACCCAACAGGCTCATCGCCCATCCTAATTCTTAGGAAATGGGAGGAATGTGATAATTTAAATATACCAAGTCTGTATACAACAGACTTTAAAGAACCGAGCTTTAAATACCCTGGAACGAAGTTGCTAGCAATTATCTTTAGTGTCTTCATCTCGGACGCACAATCTCTTTTCAAGCCTCTTTAATTTGGACTATTGTCCAGCTAAACTTCATCATCGTCACTTTGCAATTTACCATAATCAGTTACAAGCACAACTTAACTGAAAACGCCAATATATAAAATTACGAATCTTGCCAAGTTTAAGAAATTCACCGGCTCAATACGCCATTAAGAGCAAGTATGGAACAGCTGCTTACCAGTTGCATTCAGACTTGTCGTCGCGGACGTCACTGTAAGCATCCCTTAGTCCGTCCCGGTCGACTTGGGTCATAGCCATCACCTGTAACACCAACAATTTAAAATTTATAACATTTAAAAGTTTAATTACCATCCCCCCCCCCCTTTATTTGTCAAGAGCTAAACACTAACACTACATTAAACCAACACTAATATACTGCAGTTAATCCAAATTATAAATGTAAACAATTCCAATGACTAATTTTTAGATTAAATGTAATTTGCACCATACGCTAATACTTTGAGTACTGTACTAGACATGTTGCTAAGTATGAGTTTCCATTATATTTAAAAAAGGTCCGACAACCCATAATTACAGTGCAAGTAATAAAAGTGGGGGAAGTTTATATTTAATTTCCGATCATTGTATGTTAATACGATTACCATCCTACCCCATGGTTGTGCTCCAAGAGACGCCACCAGAATGTGCCGTGGAGTGCCACTATAGTGGCACTCCAAGGCACATTCTCCCCCTGGCAAGGGGAGGGGGGGAAGCCCGAGAGGATATTACCTTTGCCTGAACTTTGGTTTCCCTTGAACTTAATCACAATTAATGAAAACCACTTTCCTTTATGAACAAGACTATTGAACTTTCAGATAATTTCCTAGATACAGCTCTTCAGCCCACGCCTGTAAACTAAAGGTCTTCAAGATAAAGTCGCCACCCTGCATGCAACTGACTATTGTTGCGTGCAGGGGCGGGTGGCGTGTCACCTCCCCCCCCCCCCCCCTTGATCACCGTGACCTTACTAGTTCCGCACTGACCTACTTTACACTACATAACATTTAAAATCATTTGCGACCAGAGATTACCTATTAGTGATCAGAGCCTGGCCTCAAGCTGGGCTCGGTAGAAGAACTAAACCAAGGCATGCCAAATGAACTTAACAAATTCCCCCCATAGTATTTGCACACCAAGTTAACGAGGCTAACAATGTACGCTTGTCATGCTGTTGCAGCATATGTTCATTAATATAGGCACGATTAAACCTACGGGTTAATTATACATGAACCTTAATAGACTTCAACACCCATGTCAACCGCCCTCGCCTTCAACACCAAACGGGTATTTACTAACCAGCACCACAAACTAATATCCACGGGCTCACCATAGCCCGTGCTACTTTGAACTTTGTTCCAAGTAGCGAATCTTAAACAACAACTAATATCAGAATACCTCATTCAATCCTGGCAAGGTATATCAGGCTATGCATCTAACAGTCTTCACATTCAAGTGTAGACGTAAGGCCAATAGGTTCAGGATTCTTTACACTAGTTTACAGTTCAGAGGCGGGACCGAAGCTCACCCCCGCAAGCACAACTAGGCGAGGACAGGTTTTTTTTTTTGAGTCTGCAAGTTTTGGCGGCAAAAATAAGCGACGCTGCTGCTCAGCTAAGGGACGATGCAGACACCAGAGAGAGTACATGTTAACCTCAAATTCAGAGCCACTAAGCCACCCTTTTAATGCAGCAAGTATCCTTTAAAACCAAGGTGAACGGTTTATGCTACAGAGCCATCATTACCCAGTTTCCTACTTTGAACAATCTAAAACTAGGCTCGTGAGGGACTTTAAATTTGCGCCATCCATTCATAAAATTTTTTACCGTTCTGCTAAATTTTGCATGGCTAATTCCATTTGACCAGAGGAAGGTTATGGGGATAATGTTTCTGGGATTCTCAATTTCTTAACTATCTTTTAATCATTCATTACCCTATAGTTTGTTTAACAACTCTTAATACCACATAAGAAGAGTATCAAGAACGTCGTCTAACCATCTAAATACATCGGATTTTGAAGTAAAAAATCTCCAAAAGACTATGATTTACTATAAATCAGAGAACCACGTTTTCTGTGCGTGGGTCCCTCGTACAGGTCAGGGTCGGGATTTTTTCTCTCCCCCCCCCCCCCGTGGGGAAAGTTTATTGGACACGCAATATAGTAAATTTTTGTTACTACTTCAGGACTGGCAGCTAAACCCGTGGATTTCTGGTTATAGTAGTGATATTAGTGATCAATTTAAAACTTCATTAAACTTCCATAGAGGAAGTTCAGTGACCGTTTATGAGGATAAACCACGAAATTTGGCAGTGGGAAAAGTAGAAGAACCGGACGTTGGACCAGCCCTTCTGTCAGTCTTTCACAGTGAACACCAGTGTTTAGTTACGACAACCGTCTCTCCCGGACGACACCGGCATTTAGTTTTACACTATTCCCATGATCTAAACGTCACATCACATTTTCACATTACAGGGCTCGCCACAATTCTCGGTTACAAACTGCTGCTTCCAACCTTTTGCCTATCACATCCAGAAATCATCCCCCCCCCCCCCGCCACTTTGCTTCATACACCAACATACCATCTTGCCATGCCTCAAATTACCACCGCCACCCTCATACATTTGTTCAACGTTACTTTTATATGCACATCACAGCCACGTTTTAAAATTGGTATAAATAACTATTTCCAATAGATTATATGCTATCCAAGACAGCCGGATCACCGAGTGTTCAAGTGTCGCCATCCATTTGTTTATAATGTGGCATGTCCAACTAATACCCTTCACCAATAAGGCAGCATTAACAACTATTAACGTTTCTTAATCTCTTGTTCAATATGTAGTAAACCAATCGGGGAAATGAGTTACTCTTAAACGCAGATTAACTGGTGCCCAATTCAAAATACCCTTCAGGCAGCTGCAAGGCGTCTTAAAGCCGCTTCGGTAGTCAAGCAAGATAGGCCCATTCAAGTAATGATTCGAGACATTATAATTTTCACCGTAATAAAGTCTTGCCTGCCGTTATTAAGTGCACCACACGACATGCATGGCTATATTTAGAAAATCACTTATTCATTTGCATGTTCAGGGCTTAAGATACCTTAGAGGTTCAACTCCACCTGCCTAATGATTAGCATTCTAAATCATTTGCTCATGGCTTTAGGTCTACTGAATCTGTTACGTGTTCCTGTGCACTTAAGCCCATGGTCCATACAAGTCGTAATCTAGCATTGATTCAGCGATATAAAAACGCAGCCACTGGTAAATAGGGCTCCATAAGGCTTAACATTCGTGTTGTGCGCATTTATAATATTTCAATTCTTTTCATTTATCAAGATTAATAGTCACTACACTTATTAAAATACGTTTAAAATTTACGTCTATACAGAAACTAGTAAATTATTAGTTTGCTTTAAAATGAACTCACACGAACCAATTTTACCTCTCCCCTCGCCAGAGGGGCACCCAGCCTGCGTCCCCTCACTCCCACCTACCAGACAGAACTCCCTCCCCCGCTGCCTGAGTTAAAGACTATCGACCCTATCAGATAGGCCTAAAGCAACCTGGAAAATGTTGCTTAACTAAGTTATATACTTTGTAGTAAATAATCCCACCATTGACGTTTTCATTAGAAGTACTCTACAGGTTATGCGAAGCTCTGCGACGAACGAATAGAAAACCGCCACAAATTTTGGTGTAGGTCTACACAAAGATAGACCCAAAACCTTAAGCCAAATATGTACCATTTTATACATGAAGTGCTAAAAATGGCAAAACCTACTTGCTTGTCAAGAGAAGAAAGCTGAAGGCAGCGCCCTAGTTTCCGTGCAGATAACCCACGACAGGTACGGTCGCTTGCCTGGTAGGCGCCTCCTGACATTTCCCAAACATTTGACTTTTGTATGCAATGTTAACCCCTGCACTAGATTTAAGCCTGTTCTGTAGTTACATCTAAACTCGTGAATGCAAGCCAATACAAACGGGACTGTTCCCACAGTCCATATCACTCGGTCCTTTGTAGAGGGTAAAAAGTTCTTCCAAAAGTAACTAGCAAACGGTACCTTCACCATATTTGCGAAGATCACAAGATTTCCACAAAACGTAACGAAATATCCGTAGATTAGGAACGATGAGGATCGCTTTCCGTGGCAAGCGTGGGGCGGGGCTGGTAGCTTTAGAGGAGCGGTAGTGTGGCGAGACGCGTGACGCTGGTAGAGCTCGGCGACTATGGCGACGACGCTGGGAGTAGCAGTGGAGGCGATGTGTCGGCGTGGCGGGACGATACTACACTGACTCATACCCGGCTCTCACTCACCCCTCCTTCACCACCTCCCCCAACCCCACATCCCCCCACCTCCTCCCCTCCCTCAACACTCTCTCTGGCCCAGCTCGTCGACAAGTTCTGACTGATCAATTCGACCTCCTCTAAGTACTAGTTTGCTCGTCAAGGTACAGTCGTCGTCTACCTTGTGTGCACTACCTCAAGGCTAATCTCGCAATCAAACACACGATATCAAGAAATTATATATTTATTTACGGCTGCAGAAAAAAAATAAAGGCAGGCTTCATTGATTTTCCGTGAATCCTACGGCTGTTCAGCCTATTGTAGCCGCGAGAACTTGAAATGGTGTATATTATTTTCTAATACCTATTCTATGGCGTCGGAAAAGGAGACAGCGAACCCAAAATAATACACTTTCCTACGAGAATAAGAAAAGAAAGCTGCCACCCCATAGCTACTAGCAATTCCATGTGTTGCACAGTACAGACACGTATGTGCTCACCTATCAGTGACTACGATGGAGACCTTGACGAGAATAGATAAAGTGGATAAAGGAAGCCTGTTTATGTTAAATATAGGATAAGGGGACATTGGTGAAAGCTGAACATACAAATGAGTAGAAGAGATGTAAGCGGGCTCTCGTCCCCTGTACGGGTGGGTGGGTGGCCAGTGGAATGCGTTGCAAGAAGAGGTTGATGAAGCAAATGCCATTAAAAAAAATGATGAACACGCTATTATTGATCTCTAGAGGTAGCGCGCCAGATCTAAACGAATAGAAAGTGTGGCACACAGCTTGGGAGTAGTACACAGAGCATAGGTTCGAATCCTCCTTACGGCTCCTACAGATTTTCTCAATGATACATCACGTTAATGTGATTTCTTTGTGTATAGAGCTAGATCTCACTCCACCGTAGCTAGTGATAGGTAACCGCGCATATCTATGCAGCCCTTATCTTACTACTACAGTACTTGGCTCGGGTTC